GACTTTTTATCAGCGTGATCGGGAAAATAATGGCAATATTCACAAAACATCATCTCTCGTTTATCATCAGTAACAGTCGACCTTGCCCATGGGGAATCTTTCTGTCCATGACACTATAAATGTTTTTTTCCGCTTTTCCTGGTCGTATTTGACATGTTTTGGGATAAATTTTCAGCCTTATTACCCCCTTCATCTACCGTTTTTCGTTTTGAAACTGACAAAGTTCCTGTGGTGGCCGTACTGAAATGTTTAGCAATAATTTGTGCATGGTTTGTAACCTGACTTCCCCATGCATGTAACCATTGTAACCCTCAATCCCCATGTATGTAACCATTGTAACCCTCATTCTCCGTGTATGTAACCATTGTAACCCTCCTTCCCCATGTATGTAACCATTGTAACCCTCCTTCCCCATGTATGTAACCATTGTAACCCTCCTTCCCCATACATGTAACCATTGTAACCCTCCTTCCCCATGTATGTAACCATTGTAACCTGATTCCACATGTATGGAACCATTGTAACCAGACTTCCTCATGCATGTAACCATTGTAACCTGATTTCCCATGCATGTACCCTTGTAACCTGATTTCCCATGCATGTAACCATTGTAACCGGACTTCCTCATGCATGTAACCATTGTAACCTGATTTTCCATGCATGTACCCTTGTAACCTGATTCCCCATGCATGTTACCATTGTAACCTGACTTCCCCATGTATGTAACCATTGTAACCTGACTTTCCCATGCATATAACCATTGTAACCTGATTTCCCATGCATGTAACCATTGTAACCCGACTTCCCCATGCATGTATCCATTGTAACCTGATTTCCCATGCATGTAACCATTGTAACCCGACTTCCCCATGTATGTAACCATTGTAACCTGACTTTCCCATGCATGTAACCATTGTAACCTGACTTTCCCATGCATGTAACCATTGTAACCAGCAATCCCCATGTATGTAACCATTGTAACCTGACTTCCCCATGTATGTAACCATTGTAACCTGATTTCCCATGCATGTAACCATTGTAACCAGCAATCCCCATGTATGTAACCATTGTAACCTGACTTTCCCAAGCATGTAACCATTGTAACCTGATTTCCCATGCATTTAACCATTGTAACCAGCAATCCCCATGTATGTAACCATTGTAACCTGACTTCCCCATGCATGTAACCATTGTAACCTGTCTTTCCCATGCATGTAACCATTGTAACCCTCAATCCCCATGTATGTAATCATTGTAACCCTCATTCTCCGTGTATGTAACCATTGTAACCTGACTTTCCCATGATGTAACCAATGTAACCCTCAATCCCCATGTATGTAACCATTGTAACCCTCATTCCTCATGCATGTAACCATTGTAACCCTCCTTCCCCATGTATGTAACCATTGTAACCAGCAATCCCCATACATGTAACAATTGTAACCCTCCTTCCCCATGTATGTAACCATTGTAACCTGATTCCACATGTATGTAACCATTGTAACCGGACTTCCTCATGCATGTAACCATTGTAACCTGATTTCCCATGCATGTACCCTTGTAACCTGATTTCCCATGCATGTAACCATTGTAACCGGACTTCCTCATGCATGTAACCATTGTAACCTGACTTTCTCATGCATGTAACCATTATAACCTGATTTCCCATGCATGTAACCATTGTAACCCGACTTCCCCATGCATGTAACCATTGTAACCTGATTTCCCATGCATGTAACCATTGTAACCTGACTTCCCCATGTATGTAACCATTGTAACCTGACTTTCCCATGCATGTAACCATTGTAACCTGACTTTCCCATGCATGTAACCATTGTAACCAGCAATCCCCATGTATGTAATCATTGTAACCTGACTTCCCCATGTATGTAACCAGTGTAACCCTCATTCCTCATGCATGTAACCATTGTAACCAGCAATTCCCATGTATGTAACCATTGTAACCTGACTTTCCCAAGCATGTAACCATTGTAACCTGATTTCCCATGCATGTAACCATTGTAACCAGCAATCCCCATGTATGTAACCATTGTAACCTGATTTCCCATGCATGTAACCATTGTAACTAGCAATCCCCATGCATGTTACCATTGTAACCAGCAATCCCCTTGTATGTAACCATTGAAACCCTCATTCTCCATGTATGTAACCATTGTAACCTGATTTCTAATGCATGTAACCATTGTAACCAGCAATCCCATTGTATGTAACCGTTGTTACCCTATTCTCCATGTATGTAACCATTGTAACCCGACTTCCCCATGCATGTAACCATTGTAACCTGATTTCCCATGCATGTAACCATTGTAACCAGCAATCCCCATGTTTGTAACCATTGTAACCTGACTTCCCCATGCATGTAACCATTGTAACCTGATTTCCCATGCATGTAACATTTGTAACCAGCAATCCCTATGTATGTAACCATTGTAACCTGATTTCCCATGCATGTAACCATTGTAACCAGCAATACCCATATATGTAACCATTGTAACCTGATTTCCCATGCATGTAACCATTGTAACCAGCAATCCCCTTGTATGTAACCATTGAAACACTCATTCTCCATGTATGTAACCATTGTAACCTGATTTCTAATGCATGTAACCATTGTAACCAGCAATCCCATTGTATGTAACCTTTGTAACCCTATTCTCCATGTATGTAACCATTGTAACCCTACTTCCCCATGCATGTAACCATTGTAACCTGACTTCCCATGCATGTAACCATTGTAACCTAACTTCAATGTGTATGTTATCATTGTAATAGCTCTACCCCTACCAGTATTCAGTTTGCAGCAGAAATGGTCAATTATAAAGCCGGTATTGCATATCATTTAGTAAAGGTCCATGTGTGTAACCAATGTAACCAATGTAACCATTACTTCAATGGGGGTAACAAAACTAGATACCTATATTCAGGTGCGCATTTTGTGCCATATCTATCAAATTAACAGCTGTCCGACAAGACAGGTCAATATCGATCATTACATCATACACCCAAGTACCATTAATTGAAAATCTCGGCATAAGCAATGTACAATACCCCCTGTACTGAGAAATTGATATTGAAAGTACGTGAATTGCGATCAATACATGATACTGGTCCACCAAGAGTTAGTTTAAAACATGTACAAAATCGGTTCAAATTCTTGGAATCCCGGATGACGTACGTAATTGAATCTGATTGGCTAAGATAGAATAGCGATGAGGGGATTTTCCACTTATTATTTTGGAAATGCCAAGAATTGTTTGTTACTAGTCAGTCGGGCATATTCGGTTACAAGTTTTAATTGCCCGAAGTGTAAAAGTCTAGTCCCGGGCGTCGGGCTAGTGGATTTTTTAACCCCTGAAAGCTTGTGAAGAGGTCAGTTTAAGGGGAAACCACATATGATAAGTCAATGATATTTGGTATACAGTTGTATTAGCATTGGTACATCTCATTTCCTATGAGACTATTTGGCCCAGTACCTTCAGACTTGGTTCATTGACACTGAATGTTTTGCATCTAATTTACATGTTTAAATATTGCCATTTTGATTTCAACATTTGCATTTTACTATCATTTTATACCTTAGAACATGCTTATGTATTACTGAAAGTGCAAGTGAAAATTTCAATATAAACAAGTACATGTAACTGCTTCGGTGATAAGTTAACGGTTAAATAACCTGCTCAGTTCTAATGTGTTTGGGTTGTGATTTCATCCTCAGTGAGATCAAGTCAAAATCTTTAAAATGATTGTTTGCTGATTATTAAAGATTTACCATATATGTATTTTTCGGGATTTGATAAAAAGGGCAAGTTAAATTTTTGCTGATTGATAAAATACATGTGAAAAAATCACTGTAATGTACTAATATGTAAACAACATGAACTTTATTGACCGACAAAGAATGATGCTGATATCTCATGGTCAAAGTCAAACTTGTTGATATCTCATGGTCAAAGTCAAACTTGTTGATAACTCATGGTCAAAGTCAAACTTGTTAATAACTCATGGTCAAAATCAAACTTGTTGATATCTCATGGTCAAAGTCAAACTTGTTGATAACTCATGGTCAAACTTGTTAATATTGTTGAGTGAAATCATTTTGACACTGAAGCCAGGATAATGGATTTTAAAAAGCTTAGAAGAAAGGTGTAACAGATAAATGGAAATATAATTATAATAACAAATTTAAACATGTAAACTGTGACCACTTTGACTTATCCTAAGAAATTCTTGTTTTCTGGTTAAATTTTGTAGATTCAGTACAATTAAGGTAAAATCTCTGCTCTATTGGTGAAGACCATATGCTGAATTTTGATTTCTTTGGTTTTTCTATAGTCGGTTTTCTGTATCATTGGCTTATACTGACTCTACATTGTATTCAACATCTCCTTTCATTCAAATGTAAAAAAAAATACTGTTAAGTTGACCTTTTTATTTATCATTAATTAAACAACTGAGAACTCCATACATGTAAATGTATATAGACATCCTTATAGTTATGTAAAGATATAATAAGAAGCTAAAATATTATATACATGTAAGTTTGGATGAAATTCATAAACTGGTTTGGGAGAATTCTCTGGCAAATAGTAAAGTATGAAGGGAAAGCTTGACACTTATCTAAATCTTACTTCAAAACAGAAACCAAGTAAAGCCTACTCGTCTGCATAGTAATAATAAGTAGTGATATACGATACACTGAAATGTAACAAGTGCTTTGAGAGTTGCTCTTAAAAGGAGTGGCCAACTTTAACTTCAGTTTCATGAGAAATAAATTAAATTGGTGCCTATATACATAAACAGGCTATTTGACTTGAAGATGAAACACCCAGTTCTTAACATATACATGTACAACCATGAATTATGGTACACATATGAGAATAAAACCTATGACATTGCTGCAATTATCTAAGGCCCAGGCTACACCCAAATTTGATTGCATTGAATTGTTGTCTTTACTTACAGCTTTCTGAAATACTTACCATATAATTGAGTCTGCTATCAATAAATGGTGTCTGGCCTTGTGAATAATCAACTCGCTCTGGGTTAAGTAAATTGTATGGTTCTTGTGATGGCTGTTCAATGTAGTGATTACGGATGATTTTCACCAAGTCTGGATTATCTGCTGGAACCTGCTGATCAATAAGCATCTGTAATTTTGTTTTGTAGTCAGGTATAGCAGCTTTATCTTGATAAAATGATTCTGGTTTGAACTCTTTAAGCATTTTAGGAACTTTTCTATTTTCTTCAAATGTACCACTAACAGAAATTCTTTGTTTTCCATCTAAAGAAGCTGACTGGGCTATTATTCCTGGACTGATTTTATATTCAATTGCATCAAATTTTACCCTTTGTGTCTGTAGCTCTGTCAAAACTTCATTGTATTTACTCATTGTATATATTAATACAACTGCTCCTAATATACAAGCCAATAACCAAGGTTTGTAGTAACTTTTCATGATGAACAAAAAACAAATCTAATCCTACAAATGCTTATATCCTTTTAATCTGAAAGTAAACAGAAGATATTTTTATAAAAATAACATTACATTTCACTACAACTCTATTACTTCTGTTGCACAAAACAAAACTAAAAATATGTAAAAGATGATAAGGATTTTGTCCTTTCCTTAAGGCCGGCAGCCATATCTCTAACCAACTTTAATTTAACCTTAGAGTCTGTAAAAATGTACTTAATATAAATAGGGAGATGTTGTTTGACTGCCAATGAGACAACTATCCACCACAGTTCAAATAAAGTGGATGTAAGCAATAGGCAACCAAATGGTCTTCAACAATGAGAAAAACCCATATCATATAGTCGGCTATAAAAGGCACGACTGAAAAATATGAAACAATTCAATTGAGAAACTAATAGCCAAATTTATAACAAAACAAGTTGAATTGTCTGATTTGTAAAGGAATTTGGACATGGAGACAAAATAGGAATAACTCTTGCTCAAGGTGCATCAATATGAAAATTATATTTCCTGGATAAAAAAAATTGTTCCAGTATTGTATAATATTGCAGATTTTGATGTTAATTTAATTTGTTGATAATGGTTAATAACTATTTTGTAAATTGTAAATATCATGAATATGAGTTTTTCGAAAGTCAATTAAATCAGAAAACAAGCATTCTGAGAGTATTGCATGGCAATACATAGTCCACTACCAGGTAAAAATTCATTTTACTGGAACAAAATGCTAACTTGTTCTATAACTTGTCATGGTGTAAACAAAAAGTAAATATCAGGTCAATATCTTCAAGCATGACTAAAAACAGTGTGGAAAACTGATTATATGAGTAAAAAAAACATTAGATATGATTAATAATTCTCTAAAATTAGATATGATGTAATACAGTGTATATCTATTTTCAAATTATAATCAAATATAATTAATAGTTACAAATATTTTTTCTTTTATTTGTCACAAACTAATATAGATTTGTAACTTATCTAACCCGAATAATTAAGTCCCTCCCCGTGATCAACTCTCCCACTTGCGAGGGCCTGAACTCTTTATACGATAAAAACGCGTCACGAATCCAGGATTTTGATTGGTGCTCTCTGTGAGAGAGAGCCAATCAGCTAATAGCTAAATGTTATCGAGATAGGTAAATCCCGAGCTAATTCCGAATGATTTTTTGACGATTTTTCATTGACTAGGCCTTCATGCGTTAATGTAGCCATCGTAGAGCAGTGGAATTTGGGTTATAACTTATCTATAAATTGTCAATAAATTTTATCTACACAATGTAATGTATTGAAATATATACATTAATAAAAATAGATTATTATCTAATTAAAGGATTTCTCTTCATGATTTTTTTTTATATATATATATAGCATTCAGAAAATTAGTTTATACTAAATAACAAACAAACCTGCCAAAAAATTCTTCAAATAATTTAACAAAGAATGTCTTTTAAAAAATGAGTTATCTCCCTTTGTACAGAAATATGGTTTAACATAGTACTCTTACATTAGATATGGTCCAGAGTTATGGTCCATAACTCTGGACTAAATCATCAGACCAGAACAAAATTCGAACTTGATCTATAACTTGTCATGATAAAACTATATACCAAATATCAAATCAATATCTTCAAGAACGAAGAAAAAAAGTGTGGAAAGCTGTTTTGATGGACAGACGGACAGATGGACAGAGTGCAAACCTAAAGTCCCCTTCGACTTCGTCGGTAGGGGACTAAAAAGACAGTCATTATTTCATTCCATATTCCAAAAAACAACAACACAGTACGTTTCAATGATAAACAAACTTTACCAGTTACTGTCACCTGGATCTTTATCCAATAATGCAAGCATTGCATATATATGTTGTGTACAAGTTGCGATTTTGTACATGTTATAACATGTACAGAAATATTGTATATATGTTATAATTTGCACAATGCAAAAATACAAGTAATATAGCATGTAAAAAAGTACCTCATATAAGTTATAAAAATATTGTACAAAATTTGAAAATAAAGATATGTTTCTATTATTACAATACATGTCATTAACCTCAATAAATGTTCATCATTTTTTTTATTTTTCATTCATGTTAGTGTGTTTTGTCCTTTTTGATACAGTTAATGACCTGAAAAATAGTTTTTATAATTACTTAAAGGACATTAGCTACGAGAGATAAAATATATTTTATTTGTTCAAGCATTAATGAAAGTGAAATAGTGAAACAATAATTTGCTTTAAACAGCTAGTTTAGTTCAATTTTGTCAAAATAAGCTAAGAAACATCGCTGATGAATTATTCACTTGCAAGTGAATAATTCGACCTCATTGAATCCGTATTCATGTGACCTTCAATTTAACCCATTAGCTAGAGAGTGGTTACGCATTTATTAGTCGTGTTCAGCCATTAAAAGGAAAAGAATGTCAACATTGAAAGTGAAACAAAGGTGAACCATTTCGTTGACTGATTTGATCCACCAAAAATCATTCTTATACAGGTAAAAACGATGATTAACTTGTTTTTTTAACCTAGAAGATGAAATCAAACAGACCTAGAAAAGTCCAATTGCACGAGGTTGCTATCTATTTATATTTATGTTTATGTTTATATATGGTTAGTTTAGATGTTTGTATTTGCCTAAATGAGTGTGGATTGCTATGCCTAGTTCTATTGTCTAGTGGAATCAAAAAGTTATATGTAGGGACTGCAAAAATTTCATGTATAATTTTGTAGAAGAAGACAAGTCTGTATCGTAAACGCCTAATTTCAAGTGGGTACCAATTTAAGTCTGTCATCATTTCAGTAACTGAGCTGGTGTTATGGAAGCGGTTGCATGAGAAGCGCACTGCTCTTCTCTGAACTTTTTCAATTTGTGAAATTTGCTGTTTTTGATGTGGATCCAAAATAGTTGAGCAGTACTCTAGCTTTGGTCGGACAAGAGCTTTAAATGCATGTGCTTTAACTTTAGGTGAGGCTATTTTTAGGTTTCTACGAATAAATCCAAGAGACTGATTTGCTTTTGATGTCATGTTATCGATATGTTTGTCCCATTTTAAATTTGATTGAAGAGTTAGGCCTAAATATTTTGTAGAGTCAACTTTTTCTAGAGAGTGATTGTGTAATTTATAAGTGAAGTCTAAAGGTTTGCGTTTTTGAGTTACACTGAGAATGTTGCACTTATCAGTGTGAAAATGCATGAGCCAGTTCTGCTCCCATCTGCTGGCCGCTTCCAAGTCAGACTGTAATTTATATGTGTCATCTGGTTCTTTAATTTCCCTATAAATAATACTGTCATCTGCGAACAATCTTAATGTACTATGTTCAATATATTCTGCCAAATCATTTATAAATATTAAGAATAAAATTGGACCAAGCACTGTGCCTTGAGGTACCCCAGATGTTACAGGAATTTTATTTGATGTTTCACCTTCAAGGACTACTGTTTGTGTTCTGTTTGTTAAAAAATCTTGAATCCAATGTAATGCATTGCAATTTATACCGTAGAAACCGATTTTATACATGAGATGGGTGGTGTGAAACTTTATCAAATGCTTTTGCAAAATCCATTATTATGATGTCTGTTTGAATGCTTTTATTATTTGAATTTGCAAGATCTTGAATAAATGATATTAGCTGAGTTTCACAGGAGCGAGATGATCGAAAACCATGTTGTAAGTCATATAGTATTTTATTTTTTTCCAGATGTTTCATTATATTACTAGCTACAACATGTTCTAATAGTTTGCAGCAGATGCAAGTCAATGATATGGGGCGATAGTTTATAGGGTCGTGTTTATCGCCTTTTTTGAATGCTGGACATACACTTGCGTGACGCCAGTCATCTGGGATCTTTCCAGAGTTCAGTGATGTTTGGAATATGATTGACAAGATGTGAGTGATAGATGTCTTACACGCTTTTAAAATTTTTCCATGGATGAGATCAGGCCCAGCTGCTTTGTTGATATTGATGTTATTTAGAAGTTTTTCTATGCCCTGTGTTTGTATTTTAATATCAGGCATCTGTGGATGTTTACTGACGCCCTTATCTGGTATTGGATCATCTGTTACAGGTGTGAATGCTTTTTTGAACTGTTCATTTAAAATATTAGCTTTTGCTTTTGAATCAGATGTAAGTGAGCCCTCTTTTCGGAGTGGTGGTATGTTAGAGCTTTCAGACTTTTGTGTTTTTATATAACTGAACAGATTTTTGGGGAAGCTCTTTGATATATGACTGTTTATATCCATTTAATTAATCATTGCTTCGTCTTGTTATGACCTTTTATCTTAAACTTGTAAAACTGGTTTAAACTAATGATATCCTATCAGTATCTATCAGTCGATACAGGGGAAATCATCGATACATCATTACATGGATGTAAAATTAAGCGTCCTGGTAACCGAGACTGTAGATACGTGTCGTGAAGCTCCAGTAACGGCTTCGTTCGTCCTGATTACAGGTTCGTCCTATTTTTATGATACATTAATTTTAATGGTATTTAGATTTGTATACATATATATACATGTATTTGTTTGTTAATTATAATAAAGAAAATACATATATATCAAATATTAAAGAAAAAACATTACCATATTTTTAAAATTAATGATGTCTTCAATGTTAGGGTAATAGAAACGGAACGGAACGGAACAAAACAAAACAAAACGAAACGAAACAAAACGAAATAGCGCAAAACGAAACGAAATACAGCAAAACGAAACGAAATGAAACGAAATAAATATTTTTTTTACAATTTCAACTTATATGTTCCAATATAGGGAAAGACGATATTTGCTCCCGTGCTGACGTTTAGCCGCGAGTCACCCAGTATCGAACGAATTAAAGCATTAATGGAAGGGAGGGATAAAAAGTAGTGGGGATTATAAGTGGCACGGTCATATCTATTTATGTCCCAGGTAAATCCGCAAATGATAAAAAAAAACTTCCCTAAAACTTTTAATTTTCAATAATATTAGGATTGAAATAGTTTGCTTCAAAATCTTTGAACACTCTCATTTAATGAAGGGTTATTTCTCAATCACGGGGAGTGGGGGTCGATCTAAACATGGGATTTTTGTTACAGTCGTGCAGCTAGGAAAACACCAAAATTTCATAAATTAAAACCTTGAGAAAAAATCACGACACTAATTATGTTTCCGATGGCAAAATCATGACCCATTCATAGTTTTCTCAGTAATCACATATTATAAAATATAAATAAGAAGATGTGGTATGAGTGCCAATGAGACAACTCTCCATCCAAGTACAAGTTTTGATATATTAATTTGAATAAGAACAATAAAACAGCATTTAAACAAACATCTATTTCAATTCGGAGGATGAAAATTACTGACTAATTGAAATTAGACCTCAGTTAAATTCAGTGTATGCCATTAATATAATTTAAATATAAAAAGGGGACCCATGCCAGCGGCACGTCTGTGTATACCTTCATTTAGCCAAAGAACCCCAAATCTAGATTGAGACCCACGTGAGTGTCCTTAATATCCCAGTCCTAAAAAAAATATACAGTACCATTTATATTATTTATCTCAGGTGTACAACCCCTTTTTCTCAGTTTCTTATCTAGGATAATATCTAAACAACTTTTATCATTCAAAACGATGTTGTGAAAACTTAACACTTAGGAAGTAAGCACAGGTATGTACGACCAACCCACCACTGAAAATAAACGTTCGCCCCTCTGCCGGTATCATTTGATTTGTTCCAACTACGACAATGAAATTCAGATGCATGCAAACTTTGCAACACACAAACATGTTGTATTATAAGACATTTGGCAGAGATTTAAGTTAAAATTATAAAAAAAAATTTTTATTTCGTTTCATTTCGTTTCGTTTTGCTGTATTTCGTTTCGTTTTGCGCTATTACGTTTCGTTTCGTTTCGTTTTGTTCCGTTCCGTTTCTATTTCGTTTCGCACTTTACAGGTACCCTCCATGTTACCGTATATTTGTTTTTTTAGGGACTTGTCATTTTTCTTTATTGGGAGGATCTAGGAGGAAACATTGGAATTTTCTTATTTATTTCAAGTCCTCCCCTTGAAATAGGAAAAAAATTCCAGACCCCTTTCAAAGACATGAATATTTCACCCCCCTTCCCCGCAACATTTCTCAATACTTTTATTCTTAATAACAAATATTTATGTATACAATTTCTATCTATATCATTATTATTCAATACAATATTGCATCAGTAGTGGATACAAAGCTACAAATGGGGAAGTTGTTGTGACTTCAGGGAACTTTATTTTGATATGACTGTTAAATGACTTATATGGTCTCCCTGACATTTACCACACCTGCATTAAATTTCAGCACACTGTCCCTATCCTTTTTCAAAGAATTTTGTAAATGAACTTCAGAGAAAAAAATACTTTCCTGGAAGAAGTAGTTGAAACTTAGGATTTTGATAGAGCACAACGTCTGAACTGAACGGGGAAAAATGATGTCATTCTTGCAGAACAATTATATTTTTGATTGTAAGGGAAGTGATTGGTGTGGGTCGCCTGTGTTTGCATCTCCAGTTCATACAAGAAAAGTATTCACATAAAGGCATCTTAAAAATGCCACGCTTGACTCCCAGATATTGTCTTAAACCATTGAAAAATATGCTTAATCATGAGTTTTACGATTAATCATGTAAGGAAATAGCTATTGGGAATATCAGTGCTTTGTATTATATTGTAACCCACCCGAGAGTATCCTGTCCTATACTGGGCAGTTTACATACGAGCACTCAGGAAATGCAGTATCTGCTCCCCGGAGCACCTCTATATATGTGTAAAACTTCGTCAGTTATGGTGTTTAATATAGTTCCTCTGTTTGGTTGATATATGTGTATTAAACAGCTTCCAGTTTGTATTTGTTTGCTACTGTGCTATTTGTGTTACTAACGGCTTTCCATAGTTTTTTAATTTTGAACGAGCGTCCTCCAGCTCAAGTAAGTTTTACCAGTGTAAATGCATATTCCTTTTTATATGTATCCAAGATTGATAAAGATAGAATATCATTTCAATGTTAACAGTTTTATCAGTTGAACGGTTTAAATATATTTGATTAAATAACGAATTCTGACAATTCTAATTCTTGCATACAGTACAATATATCGGCATAGTGCAAGCCATATATAGGAACTAAATATACGGTCTAAATTCATATTTGTGGTGTCCGACGTGGTGGGAGAAAGCTTACTGTACAAACAGTAAAAAAAGACGGTTACTAATATTCCATTATTTATCCTTATGCTCACCTTAAACTTATTACTGCTTTGTTTACAATTTTATTGATATTGAACTTTTCGAACTTGCCGCCAGCAGAACTTTAGGCTATCTGCCATTATATAATATATGGAAGTTTTTTACGACCTTGACTGGCTATACAGCCCTTGCACGGTCGGTTTCTGCCATTATATATATGGAAGTTTTTAACGACCTTGACTGGCTATACAGCCCTTGCACGGCATACATATTTTAGAACTTAAGAAAGACTAGAGTGCACAGTGGCGGATCCAGAGGGGGGCGTAGAGGGCGTACGCCCCCCCCTTTTGCTTGCACTTTTTTTTTTTTTTTTGTAAAATGATTAATCAGACTAGACTTCGTGAACTTTGCCATTTCCCGTGTATTTAATTTTTATGTGACAATTCTTTACTTATAAAGATATTTTTCGCTCGTATTTACTGTAGTATATTATTTATTGATTATGTCAAAGTCATGTGATTCTCCACGGTGGAGTTGACCAGTTCGTCGAAAAAAACGTCACTTAGTCATTTTGAAATTCAAATTACAGTAACACATTGCTTAGGCTGAGGATGACAAGCATGACGCCTTCAAAGCGACAAAGAATTGAGCAAGAACGTATTGACTTCTATTTCACAATTCCACCCAACAGAAAGTAATACTCTATTACACTCTCATGAGAAAAAAAAGTTGCACAGAAATATTATTTACCTACGAAAACATGTTTAACCCCACACGCCCCAGCCCACTAATAACATTGCTGAATAGTGATCCCCAGTCAGTAATCTCTAGATTTAGATTTAATGATCTGAGGGGGCAGTCTGAGATATTTTAGAGAAAAAATTCTGACCCTGATTTTTGCCTTAAACAAAAATTCCGGCCGTATCTGGATTGAAAACAATAATCTTGTCCACTTTTTTGCTATTAGAAAAAAATATTTTCAACAGAATTATTTAGCATTAATAAACATGATGAATAAAAAACGGGCGTAATTTTTTTTTTTTTTGGGGGGGGGGGGGGTTGCATGTGAATCCCATATCTGACCGGAATGTCTGTTTCGCCGAACTGATATACTGAATACATTTTTCAAGGCCCGACTGCAACCTGCCTGCTGGGTGTGGCCTATATGTCTCCATGTGTCGTCCGTCATTCACAACTTCATTGTCATTTCCGACTAATTCGTAGCCTTTGTTTGATTTGGAACCCCTCACTTCCCTTGTTGGGTAAAACATTTCAACCAAACATTTGGATGAAGATTGCTTGTTTGTCCTTCTTCGTGTCGGTCGTATTGTAAATTTCATTGAATAGCCGTATATCTCGTTTACAACAAGAAATCTGTGAGGTTATGTTAACTAACCATACAACAAACGAGAATTTTCCATGTCCATTTTTTACTGACAAATCCCACATCAAATATATTAATTAGTACATAGCTTTGGATCCATCCAATCATTTCATAATAGACAATTGATGGAGAGAATACGACACCAAAAATGTCCAACCCCTACACTTTAACTATAAAATGCATTTTACACTTAGTTTATGTTTTTTAGTCAAAAAAAGGTCAAAAAAAAATGTTCGCCTCGCTCCGCTCGGTGAGCTATAATACTACGCCCCCCTTTTCAAAATCCTGGATCCGCCCCTGGTGCACACACTGAAATGTTGAAACTTAACATTATCAATGACCCATGACAAATAGACAATGAGGTCAAGGTTAGATAAACCAAGCCAGACAGTCATGTACACATAAAAATAATTTGAATTTTCCATACACCAAATATAGTTGACCTTTTGCTTATAGTTTGCAAGAAAAAACCAAACCATGAAAAATTAATATTGATAATGACAAGATGATACATACCAGACAGACATGTACATCTTAAAAATTTTCCGTGCACCAAATATAGTCGACCTATTGCTGTTAGTATCTAAAAAAAAGATAACTAGGAAAACAAAACCTGATCAATCAGGGAGTCGACAGTCTATACTAACTTTTACACGACTGGAGTGTTCTTCAAAACGAGATGTCTCAATTTAATAATTTAACTTTCTTCTAAAATCTTAAATTATTTGTAATGGTAAATGGCTATTTATCAGATTTGTATGTTTAAAAAAAAAATTAAATTACTTGATGTACTTAGAAATACGCAAATAACTACTAGCTTCGTATATCAGAGACACGAAACTTAGCTAATTGTTTGGTGCTAGCTTTACACGGGAGGCGTAGTTATTAAATAAAATCAATTGTGACCAGTCCCGTTAGTAAAGACTGTCCCTGGATCAATGATCCATGAAAATGAGGTCAGGGTCAGATGAAACCTGCAACACTGACAGGTACACTTTACAATCATTCCATTCACCGCATAATGTTGACATACTCGGCTTATAGTATTTGAGTAACGGACCAATCACGTAACTTTATCCATGAAATGAGGTCGAGGTCAGATGAACCCTGTCTGACGGACATGAAGACGTTGCAAGGAACCCATATATCAAATATAGTTATCCTATTACTCATAATAATTAAGAAATTCACATGACAAAAAAAAACATACATTTTTATGCAGTCGCTAAACCATGAAAATGAGGCCACGGACGATGGACACATGATAGACAAAAACTTCATAACATAAGGCATCTGTATACAAGTATGAAGCCTCCATGTCTTTTACCCCCTCTAAAATAAAAAGCCGTTTATACAATAGTTTACGTCGCCGCCGCCGGGTTGTAATCCATATATGTCTAGCATTCTGCGACTTTCATCGCAGGCGTGACAAAAACACTCTGGATAACTGACAATTTGAATTATTAACATCAATAGAATTGAGAATGGAAATGGGGAATGTGTCAAAGAGACAACAACCCGACCATAGAACAGACAACAGCAGAAGGTCACCAACAGGTCTTCAATGCAGCAAGAAATTCCCGCACCCGGAGGCGTCCTTCAGCTGGCCCCTAAACATATATATATATATACTAGTTAAATTCACATTTTAATACTTGGCTAATGGTAGTTAAAAAAGTTACCGTCCGTAGTTTACTATTATGATTTGCCAAATGCCAGTGCAACTTTCTTATATATTGTGTAGCCTCACCTCACAGTCTTCTTTCAGTTATTATTGGAATGTTTCAAGTGTTTAGTTGACGTTGTGCAGAAAACAATTGCTAACAGCTACAGGGAGCTACAGGCAATGGCATGCTGACAGAGTTGAGACTGTGACCACTAAAACAATATACCAGTCAAAAAGAAGATAGTAATTTAAAGAAAATGAATGTCTTTTCTTTCAAAACGCATTACGGAAAGACCAACACAATTTAAACTGATCTCTGAGATCGAAGGATAATTGATTGAATCATTCGTCACAACTCGGCCGATTCCATACCTCTAACTAACGGATAGATGGAGAGAAGCGGGGCCACCCGAGGTTAGCCGATTGCAGTGGCGTAGCTAGGCAATTTTTAAGTGTTTAATCTATCTATCGTGTTGATTTGGAATCTAATGAGAAAAATTAGAGAAAAATGTCCAAACCAATTACTGGAAAATATGTTTAAAAGGGGATGTGGGGTAAAACAATCAATCAACAAAAAATACAAAACTTTAGAGATAGTATAAAAGCAAGTCTCCATTTCAATGTTGTTCTATTAATTATCAGTTTGACTTCATTTAAAATTTTCCCATTTTTATGCGCAAATTCCGTTAGTAATGGACACATGACATAATTTAATTTCATAGATGGTCATGTGTAATATAAAAATTCGTAAATAGTTCCGTGGAACCCTATGTCTCGCCTGGGATTGCTGCTGTCAGTGTAATAGTGTTATGTTGACTGTAAAACGTGGATCCTTTTTTCGAGCCTGTGACATTTATGTCGCGAAAACGCGACTTAGCGATCCTAGATTCCGTCGGCGTCAACATTTTGGTTTAGTCTGTGGTTAAAGTTTATTTTAACATCAATTACTTTGTCAAACCGTCGTGGAATTTTACGGAAGTTGGACAGAAGCTTTTTATGACCAAATTAAAACCAGTATTCAGAGAAAAATTTTGAAAATATTTCTTTTTATTTTACTGATAACTGGACTTTTTTTACAGTTAATATTTAGATACAGTCTATGGTTAATTTTTTCAGACATCAATAGTTTTGTCAAATCTTCATGAAATTTTACGGAAGTTGGATACAAGCATTCTTATACCAAAGTTCAGTATCCAGAGCATAATGAAAATATTTTTTTCGTATTTGACTTGTAGTTAGTAAGTAGATACAGCCTGAGGTTAAAGTTTGTTACACATCAATTACTTTGTCGAACCTTCACCGAATTTTATGAAAATTTGCCAGAAGCTTTTGATGATCAAGAGGTAATGTCCGAATCAAAATTTTGAAAGTATTTTTTTATTAATTGATGCCACGAAATTTTTCCGCGTGATTCTAATCAGAATCATGTGTTGCTTATAAATACATGTTTTCAAACTGTGAAAAAGACGATGACCAAGCTCCTCATGAAACTTTGACTTCAACAAATGATCACCAATCGTTGGAATACTCATACAATAATAGCGTATCATAAATTTTTATAATAATCTAAATTGGTATGTCGATCATGAATAATTTTATTATCTTTATTACCATTAATGTTAAGAAAATATATACTTTGACATTGTCAAATGGTCGAAGTCGCGTGGAAAATTTTGGCCGCTGATAACACGATGATACAAAAATATTGGAAATTCAACGTGCGTAATAGGGATAGTTGATTGTTAGTCTATATTTTAAAGCGGCATTAGCTGTCAAATTCATGTTCATCAATTTGATTTGTAACCTACTTAAACGTATATCCAAATTCTAAAAGTATAATATAAACAATTTGCGATGCATGAAATTTGGACTTACGATAATATGTATCAGTATCAGCATTTCGTGTGTATTTGAGTCTAGATGCCATTTAATTAACCATCGAGGTGTCATCCGAAGACTGAGATTGATATTTACCCCGATATCAATAGATAGCGAATACCGAACACGCGCAATTGAATCTTTTAGGTCTGTTTGATTTCATATTATAGGTTAAACAAATCTGTTAATCATCGTTTTTATCTGTTTAAGAATGAGTTTTTTTTGTAGATCGAATCAGTTAACCAAATGGTTTATCCTGGTTTCACTTTCAATGTTGACATTCTTTTCCTTTTCATAGCTGAACACGCCTAGTTCATGTAGTTTATGCGTAACCCATTTCTAGCTAAGGGGTTAAATAGAAGGTCATATAGGTACGGGTTCAATGAGGTCGAATTATTCACTTGCAAGTGAATAAATCATCAGCGATGACATGTTTCTTAGCTTATTTTGACATAATTGAACCAAACTGGCTGAAAAAAAGCGAATAATTATTTCACTTTATCACTTTCATTAATGATTGAACAGAAACAATCATATTTTAATATTTTTATATATCGTAGCTAATGCCCCTTTAAACAGAACTGCTTGATATTGACGCGATGAAATGTCTCTTATAATGACATATTGTAATTATCGTCTCATTTGTTGAGATATAACATTTGATTACACAATGTTTTTCATCCGGCCATTCCTACAATTCCCATTTGGAGCATTTCCATTTTATATCCTTATCACCACAACTTATATTGAAATGAAGTTTTGCGACATTCAAATGTGTTGGGAGTAAATTCACGACACCTCTATAAGCAACGTAGTAAGAGCAGTAACTACGTATTAATGGGTTCTGGACGAGGTTGTGAATGGAACTCCGGCTTTCTCCACCAATAAAAATGGCCAGCAAGAAATAGCTAAGAGTGTTGAAAGGAAAGTGGCGTTAAATACCAATAATTAATCAACCGTAATTGAAATTTTGGATGCAGATAACAATCAAATAATGGAATTTTCCTGGCGAAGGTCGGTTGTTCTCTACGGCTTCCTCCATCAATAAAAACTGACCGCCACGCACTAGCCAATAGTGCATGCTGAAAGTGGCGTAAAAAGCCAACAATCAATAAAATAAAGGAATGTGCGTCAAGTACATGTAGGTATAATCAGGATTTACCACCTATCATACCTTTTTGGTGACACCCCGTTAGTCCGATAGCCCATTACTTAGACATAATGGCGTGTAACCAATATTTCAACGACATATGTAGATTTCATTGGATTTTTATAAATCTTTTGAGATAAAATTATGACTCCAAAATGTATTTATGAGTTTTCTGTTAAATTTTGATGATGTATACATATAGATTGCACTTTGACGATACATAATGAAAATAATCAAGTACAGAACCAATCATGTAGAAAAATAGAGAGCACAAAATATATAATACCAACAAAAAATCATAATTATAATACATATACATAAAAGTTGTACTAGAAGATGGTTCAATTTGCTGTGAAACTAACATCTTTTTAAACAAATGGAAAACTTCTTATGAAAATCTTCTTAATCATCATGTGTACAAATCGATGTCGACATGAGACATGGAAGTTATAAAATTGTAAAGCACAGAAAAGGATACGGCAACACTCCAGGAAACGGTTCTTTATTTAGAAACAGCCAGCAGTATAGGATTTCAGAAGACCTAAAAAAATGGCAAAGCGCCAGGGATTGATTTGATACCTGTAGAATTGTTTTAAAATAATTTATTATTACAAGTTTTGCACAAATTATTCCATACATGTTTTAAATTTGGTAAATTCTATCTGTGTGGTGTAAAGGGATAATCACACCTATCACATATAGTGTTCTACATCATATCTCAGATATCCATCGTCGTATCGGCGATTTACTTTAAATTAGCACCGTGTGCTTTTAAGTTGTATTGCGGTGCTGTAAACAGTAGACTGGTAACTTGGTTAGATCACAGAGATATTTATCATGATGAGCAAAATGGTTTTACGTAAAAGTAGTAGCACTATTGATCATTGAAGTATAATTACGTCCATTTTTGAGATGAGGAAACTACAAAAAGGTCAACTTTTGCTGTCTTTGTAGATTTCAAGAAAGCTTATGATACAGTTAACAAGAGTTTATTGTTCAAAGATTTAAATGATATTTGAATCAGGACAACATTTTGGAATTCTATTAAAATTATCTATTGTCAGATTGAATGTGCAATTAAATTGAATGGAAATACGACTGAGTGGTTCAATGTTAACTCAGACTTAAAACAAGGGTGTGTTTTATCACCTATATTATTTAATATTTTTATAAATAGTTTAGTCACAGACATCAAATGTCTAGATACCGGTATTTGATATTGATGGTGAAAAAGTTGGTATTCCATTATATGCATGATATTGTATTAATTGCTGAAAATGAAATGATTTACAATAAATGTGAGATATTCTTAAAACAGGGTGTAAAAATGAATTATTGAAATTCAATGTTAACTTTGAAAAGGCAAAGATTGTTCATTTTAGAAATACCTCTGTTTAATCAACAAATGTGATATTTTAACTCGGTGAAAAACAGTTGTGTGATGTATCAAAATATCATTATCTCAGCTTATTATTGACTAAATTTATGAGATGGCTAAAGCTGTAGCAAGGTCAGCAGGGAGAGCATTGAGTTTACTGATTGTAAAGAGTAAAGCACATGGAGGTTTCCACTTTAATACATATACTAAACTCTTTTATAGCATGGTAATAAGTTATGGTGCAACCATATGGGGCACTAGAGATTTTTCATGCACAGAGCTATCCGTTTTTTTTTATTGTTCTTGGTATATATACACCAAATTATGCCATTAATGGGGATATGGGTTGGAAACCCCCATGTGTTAAGCAGTGGAGTTGTGGTTTTAGACATTGGGCTAAATGTAATGTTATGTCAACAGATAGAGTGAATTATAAAGTTTTTCGATGGGTTTTTAGAAATGCTACTAATAAAAAGAACAAAATTTCGATTTAATCACTGATTTAGAGAATGTGTTGCATAAAAATATTATAACACTGTTAGAAGATTTTTTTATTTGATAAAAATAAGGTAAACTGGCATTGTCACAAAATGTTGGAAAAAAATACAGACTTAGAAATTGTTTAAAGATGTTTTGAAAGAGAGATGTATTTGAGTAAGAACATTTCAAGTCGATACAGAAGTGCATTTGCTAAATTTAGGAACAGGTCGCTATGAAAAGAAAACTTTAAATAAAAGAGTTTGCTTTTTACTGGCTTTTTATGTAATAATCCGATTGAAGATGAGACAAATGTTTTATTAGACCGTCCTTTATGTGCAGATTTGCGTGAAAGTTTGTTGATTCTAACATTTTATCTGATGATGGTAAGTTTATATATCTTTTTAAAAGTACTGATTGTTATGATGTGATTGCCAAGACCTGCTTATATAATAAATATTGTAAGTAGAAGAAATAGTTTTTTATATGCTGGATTGATAGTTATGTTTTTACAGAACTGAAATGTTTTATAGACATGATACAAATGTAAATATATAGTTATATTATAATAATTATGATATTATTCACCGTAAATTTATTATGTTTATCTTGCATATACTTAATGTTTCAATGACTTTGACTCAACTTTATTTTACTTAACTTTACATATCAGCTTGGCCTTCGGAGTCTAGGCATTATTTCTGTCTACAAGCTAATCAAACACCAAAATGCAACACATAAGCGCAGCTTCATTTCCCGACAGTGTATTAGAATTTTTAGTTGTCCTTCGTGGCCAGCGAAATGTATACGTACTGTCTCACAGGCTAACACAATTCTATACCCTGTCTTCTTTTTTTTAATATATAATTGAGGTTTCTAAATAACTTTCAATTAGTATGGTTACCAAGGAAAACAAACGACTGATGTTGTTACCTTTTTCATAAGATGAGTTTTTCTATTGTTCACCAGTTTACACATTGCTTTAAAACCACAAGTTATTCTCGAGATAATATTTATTTAATTTATCCCAAAGTGAGAGCATAATGTTTATTGTAATTAGTTCAGAAATGTTTCTATCATAAAGTTTTCATTGGAGCTATATTGTAGGTCGTTGCAATTTCATTCTGAAAAATAAATAACTGATTATAACAGTAAATCAATTTCAAGGTAAGATATTATATACAAATGTACATTCAATAACATTTCTATATGCCATTCAGGGGCGGATGCAGCCATTTATAAAAGGGGGGTTCCCAACTTAGGATAAAGGGGGGGGGGTCCAACTATATGTCCCCATTCAAATGCATTGATCGTCAAAAAAAAAGGGGGGTTCCAACCCCCGGAACCCCCCCCCCCCCCTGGATCCGCCACTGCCATTCTTTTCCTTTTTGCCATGGAAGTATGCTATTGTAATTTGGTTCAAACTTAGTAAAATGTACTTATGTGTGTTGTGTTTGTTACTTAGTACTTAGTTGATGGACTGGTTAACGTCCAATAGAAAATAGTAAATGCTTATTTCGGATGATAATATATTAATGTAACGCATTTGTATAAAGCTGCCCTACTTAATAGTAGACCGAAACACACTGAATTAACACTAATTTGTAGCGTGCTAGCTCGCATGGTAACAGCACATAAGTAGACATGCCACTCTATTCTGATGCATTTGTTTTGCTTCCAAGTCACCTAGTCTAAATGTTGCTCGCTTGGTAGAGAAGCAGCAAATGGAAAATTTGTAAGTCCTACGTTTAACATTGGAGAAGATCGAACCTCTCGCCCTGCAGACGGACACGCTAGCATGAGACTGCCTGGATTCTCATTACTTTTGAGTGGTATCGACACAATGGTTGAAAACAGTCATCAATAATACCAGACTCACGATTTTGTACGCGAGGTTCGCGTTTCTTCTACACAATACTAACCAGTGACAATAAATTCAAAACAGTTGGAAGGCTAAAATCAATTACGAAGCGATAGTTGCATGCATTTGACTGACATTTAAGGTCAAGTTACAGTAACTGGACTCTGTCACAGATTTTGATAAAATGTTGCATACAAATTTGATTCGATAAACTATCTCTTTTATTTTATGAACTATTACTGATTGATTTTTTTTAATAAGTGAACATTTGTATAGAAAGCACACAAAATCGGCGAAAAAATGTTCGTCAGTTGACTTAAAATCATTAAATCTCCAATTTCGTAACCATAAACTGTTTTTTTTTTAATTATATGGTGTTGAAATTGCAATTATTTAAAATGTCACAATGTTGTCCAGTGTTCAACAATAATCACAATAATAAATGCATACAGAAATGTCTAAGTTTATAGTATTATTTAAAGTAAATATACTCACAGCAAATTTTATTTGATTTTCATGATAAGGTATGCCACCGAGTTTGTCACAGAGTTCTATGTGGTTTCTCTCTGGGTCTCCTGGAACTAATACTGGATCCTTATCCGCCTATAAATTTCAACAAATCATACAGGAATACCCAGATGCATGTGAAATTAACAGTCGTACAGTGAAACAAGAGTGCACACCCGAAATGTCTCGCCTATTTACTAATTCTAACTAAAAGTCTTTCAGATTCAGATGTTTGGCACCAAGTATTACAAAAACTTAACATTACCAATGATCCATGAAAATGAAGTTAAGGAGAGAGACTATGTTAGACGAACATGTACACCTTATACTCATTCCATACAACAAAAATATTGACCTATTGCTTAAAATATCTGAGAAACGGACCTAATCCCGAAAACGTAACGTTGACCAATGAACCATGAAAATGAGATCGATGTCAGATGAACACTGCCAGACAGACAGGTACACTTACAATCATTCTATACACAAAATTTAATTGACCAGTTACTTATAGTATCGGACCCAAACACGAAAACGTAACGTTGACCAATGACCCATGTAAATGAGGTCAAAGTTAGATGAAACCTTATAGTATCTTAGAAATGGATCCAATTACTAAAACTTTGGGTTGACCAATACACCATGAAACTGAGGCCAAGGTCAGATGAACCCTGCGACATGTACACCTTGCAATTATTTCATACGCCAAATATATATAGTTGACATATTGCTTATAGTATCTGAAAATGGGCTAAATTACGAAAACATAACGTTGAACACTGATCATTGAAATGAGGTCAAGTAAATGCGAACCTTGTCCGACGGATTTCACTTGTATACCTTGCAATAATTCTATATATCAAACATAGTTGTCCTTTTACTCAAAAAGGGGTCTAGGTGGCCGAGTGGACTAATTGTTTACTTTTTATACATTGTGACTTGGATGGAGAGTTGTCTCATTGACACTCATACCACATCTTCTTATTTATAAGTAGTCGAACTACTGTATAACTAGCCTGTCAACACTGAGGATGTGGGTTTGAATCCGGCACGTGGCAGGTGCGTTCGACTCTAATCTTCATTGACTAGGATTGTCAGTTTTCCTACCGAAGGTCGGTGGTTCTCTCCGGGCGATCTGGCGAACTGACCACCTCAAAATAGCGCAACAGTGCTGAAAGTGGGGTTCATGTCTGTCACATTTGTTTTTCGCAAATTGTTTGTTATAAATAATGCCCGTTAGTTTTCTCAATTGAATTGTTTCAAACTTTTTCATGTCGGGGCATTTTATCATGAGCCGACTATACGATATGGGTTTTTCTCATTGTTGAAGGCCATACGGTTGCCTATAATTGCTTACATCCACTTCATTTGAACTTTGGTGAATAGTCGTCTCATTGGCAATCATACCACATCTCCTTATTTTTATATCAAAACACCAATCAATCAATACATTAATTTTATTTAAAATAACTGAAAAATCAGTCGACAAAATAACTACGGACAACCAACATATACCAAACTGAAACATGAGACCATAATGCATTTGTTTTGAAAATACGACGTATCCATGTCCTCTACTTGAAATATAAAGCTTTGTGCAAAGAGATAACACCGCCTTATGTCTCGGATTCCAACTAGACAAAAATGACACATATATCCCATTAATTAAAAAAAAAACATTTGGTATGAAAATTAATTCAAATATTTAACATAAATGGATAAAAGGTGTGGTAATATACAAAGTGTTAAATGACTACTAGAAAACATAACTAATCCGCAAAAATAGGAAGAATCTAACTAATCCGTAAAAAATAGGAAGAATCTAACTAATCCGTAAAAAATAGGAAGAATATTACATAACTTAATATAATTAGATTTCTATGATATCTCTTCACACATTGTCAACTTCAGCATTTGTAGGGAAAAAAAAGAAAATTATATTATAAACTACGATTTTTCTTTCGTTTACAGAAATATAACTTTTTTATTGATTTGCTTGAAACATCAAATACATAACCGTCGGCTGTTTTCTGCTCTTTGGTCGGGTTGTTGTCTCTTTGACACGTTCCCCATTTCCATTCTCAATTTTATCCTTTGTAAGTTATTTCAAAAGAATTTGAATACAAACAAGAGATGAGCTGACAAATTGACCTCAAACCAGATTTTCTTTATTTTTGATTGATTGATTAATATTTTGGTGTTTCAACGCCACTATCAGCACTATTGGACATTTCCTTTTGTCCAGTCTATATTGGTGAATGAAACCGGAGTATCCGGAGAGAATCACCGACCTTCGGCAGGAAGACTGACAATCCTAGTCAATTGATATTGGAGTCGAACGGACATGTTACGTGCGGGGTATTTATTTCTGAAAGTAACTTTTTTGAACTTTAGAGGGCAGCTAGTACGTATGAAATTGATGTATACTAATGTATGGCTCTTTCAGGCTTGTTTGACCAGCCACGTCCTGCACGGAAACGACAGAGAGTGCTATTATCCATTCTATCGAGGACCAAGATAACTTTTGAATGGCAAAAGTGAAAATTGTCAATATCAAACTAGACCTCCATTTTGTCATCGTTACTAACATATTAAAATTGGAAAAGTATTGGCTGAACATTCTGAAGCTTTTGCACGGAAACGACAGAAAGTGTCATTTTGCAATATATCAAGGTACATAACTCCTGAACGGCAAGAGTGCAAATCGTCAATATCGTTATTAAACTTCATTATGTCATTATCAACAACAATTTACAATTTGAAAAGCATTGATTGAAAGGTTCATAAGTATTTGCATGGAAACTGTTGACAGCCGCCAGCCGCACTTGATCATTTTTTTTTATAACTTGACTTTTCATTCGAAAAACCCGGTTAAAAAAGGAATTAAGGGAAGTACTTGAGTATATAAAAATGATCCATCTTAAATTATATTATTAATAAGTAAAACTCACTGATTGCTGATTCCGGCAAGCATCAATTAATGTCTGCATTCTGTTTGTAAACCCTTCTTCAAATTGACTGGGATCAATAGCTATGAAGCACTGTCCCTACAAAACCAAAACTAAACTTCATGTAAAAAGTACTATATAAGATTGTTGCTTGACTTTAAACTTATTTTCTTGTCAAAACAAGAAAAATAAACTCACTGGATCTTCTCCAATACACAATAATCATTAAATAAGACAATATACTAGTATATGACATAGTACACTTGACACAGAAATATATGAGATTATGAGATTTTAAAAGAAAAAAATAAATGACACAACATAGCACAACACGTGTGTGATTGGTTGATTGATTTATTGTTGGGTGTTTATAATGTCTAGTGGCAAATATGTCATGCCTGGTTAGACAAATTAACAACAACAATAAAAAAAAAAATGGGTAGGTCCTGAAAAAAGAGGCCGTTTGGGATGAAGGTCGGGAAAATTTTGACTGCCACTGGAACATGAAGGTATACTCAGGATATGAACAGAAATATTGCAGGCCTCCTACGGTCCCTTCAAAGAGGTGTTGCAAGTGTTTTTAACGTGCAGAGAGCGTGGCACTCTCTTTAAACGAGTCATCGGATTCAAAGTCGCGATTCTGACAGATGTGGCTGTGTAGTTGTACATCCCGCTTAGCAAAACGGACGCCACTCGTTTACAAGGGTTTTGTTGCCGGTCGAAAGCAGATCAAAGTGACCATATTTCTATTCCTCAGTCACCCTTGGGGATTACACGTGTGTGATGGCAGGGAGTTTGCTGTCGGCGGTGAAAATAGTTTTAAGAAGAGAAGATTGTAACAAATCAGTTATTATTTAATTTTGAACTGCTCCAAATAAACATTAAATAAAATGTCTTCTCCATTCAGAACATCCAAAAAGAAAAATGTTAATCTTTAATTCAACACTTATATTGTTGAAGGTTTGCGAGAGTTCAACTCTCAGTTGAGTTCTCTGAACAAATTAAGGAAGAGTGATCAGCGTTTTCAACATATCTGTCATATTTACAGTACCAAGAATATGTGAGCCTTAAGTGTGAATGTAATATATTAGCCAATTCTTGTTCCAATCGAAATTTAAATGGGCGTTCGAATCTATTTCTATATTGTAGGAGTTTTTGAGCCTAGATTTAAAAATATGAAGATAGGACGATTGTCTGATATTAAATGGAAATGTATTCTAAAGACACAGAATCCGTAGATGAAATAAATGAGTACTTGTTTAGGCTTAGTCTGCACTGTGGAACATCAAAGTTATTAGAATTACGTAAATTATAATTGTTGACTTGCATGACAGTCAATGGCAATAAGTCACGAAGGTATTCCTGGGTTTCACCGTTTTTATTTATTTTTTCTAAATAATGATATGTTCCGTTTCCATGCTTTACAGATGGAATGTAAGCTGGAATACATACTTAAACCTGTCGCAATTACATTGTCTTCGACCTGTATTTTGGTTATGATGATTCGAGGTGGTTAATTAAACCAAAAAGATATTTAAAAATGCACCTACTCATACTTAGAGAATAAAAAAAATGTATTATTGTTTTTTGCATGAAAACCGTAAAAAAACACAAATATAGTTACGAAAAGTAATAAACTCACTAAGTTTGCAGGTCTTTCAAATGCTTTCCACTGTCGTACAAATGGTCCAAATGCACCACCACTTAAAATACCACAAAATGTTTCTACCATCATAGCGAGACCATAGCCCTTGTATCCACCTTACATAAAATATTTATATTATCAATGATCTGGCGGATGATAAACGAAAGGATATCAAACACTATAATCCAATCTTTTATATAACAACTTACAGATCATGGGTAATATTGAGAAATCTTTTTTCCGCATTTTAGAAAAAGTCTCTTGAAAGAGTCAACACACATTTCGTTATACTAAACAAATTTTGCCAAGAATAACGCCAAAGAGCACATTTTTGGTGTCAACTGGTACTGGTAACTGTTTTCTTCTAAGATCTTATATATTTCTATTTAAGACTAAAAACCAGTTGGCCACTTTATTTGACTAATAGGAATGAAAAATACAAAGCTCAGTCATTAACTATTCAAAAATATAAAAAAAGAAGTTGGACCTTCCTCATATCAAACTGATTTTCGATGGCTTTAGGTTTGTTTATAAACAGTTTTGGGGTATCATAGTTCCAAAACAAATTAAGACCTCTTTGTGATATATCCATGATTTTTCTTTAGTTTAATGAAAGGTACAATTAATCAGTATTTTAAGTTACTTAAGTATTCTGTATAGTTCCATTGTGTTGTAAAATGTTATTTTAAGTTACTTAAGTATTCTATGTAGTTCCATTGTGTTGTAAAATGTTATTTTAAGTTACTTAAGTATTCTATGTAGTTCCATTGTGTTGTAAAATGTTATTTTAAGTGAATTAAGTATTCTATGTAGTTCCATTGTGATGTAAAATGTTATTTTAAGTTACATAAGTATTCTATGTAATTCCATTGTGTTGTAAAATGTTATTTTAAGTTACTTAGTATTCTTTGTATAGTTCCATTGTGTTGTAAAATGTTATTTTAAGTTACTTAGTATTCTTTGTAGTTCCATTGTGTTGTAAAATGTTATTTTAAGTTACTTAGTATTCTTTGTAGTTCCATTGTGTTGTAAAATGTTATTTTAAGTTACTTAGTATTCTTTGTAGTTCTATTGTGTTGTAAAATGTTATTTTAAGTTACTTAGTATTCTTTGTAGTTCCATTGTGTTGTAAAATGTTATTTTAAGTTACTTAGTATTCTTTGTAGTTCCATTGTGTTGTAAAATGTTATTTTAAGTTACTTAGTATTCTTTGTAGTTCCATTGTGTTGTAAAATGTTATTTTAAGTTACTTAGTATTCTTTGTAGTTCCATTGTGTTGTAAAATGTTATTTTAAGTTACTTAGTATTCTTTGTAGTTCCATTGTGTTGTAAAATGTTATTTTAAGTTACTTAGTATTCTTTGTAGTTCCATTGTGTTGTAAAATGTTATTTTAAGTTACTTAGTATTCTTTGTAGTACAATTGTGTTGTAAAATGTTGTTAATGTAATGTACTTGATACAGTAATTCTATTTTATGTAGCCTGTTATAAACTTTTTCCCAGGTAGAGTGTAAAATTAGAATTACAAGTAACAATAACTCACTACTTTCTTCCTTTCCACCAAGAGGCATTAAACCATGGAGATTCTTAAAGTCACGTGTTTCCTTGTAAAAGAATAAAACATACCATTCCTAATCAATTCTTCAATCAGCTTTTTACCAAACAATAAATACTGTTTTAGTTTCAGATTTTAATTTAAATGTTTATCTTGTAATTATGCCTAAACACATACTGAAAATAGTGATTTATTTAGTTTTAAAGCACCGTAGAGTCCCGGTCTTCTTCAGGGTGCAGGCTGTTTGGACTACTTGTGAAATTATTATTTCAATAAATCCTGTCAGAAAGCCCTCTTGTAAGATTTAGTCACAAATTTAATCTTCTTTATGCAGTAGTCTGGATATACTTGGCATTAATAAAACATCAAATCTAAATCTAAATGTTGAAAACACTGATTTCAGAACGTTTTTCCTTTGATACTGTCAGCTTTCGTAGTACAGTATACTGTAACATGTTGTCGTGTTATGTGAAACAAAAATACAATTGTGCAGTCAGTATACTAGGTAACTTACATGACCACTCTGGTCAACAGTCCAACCACCTGGTAACGGTTCTCCTTTTCTGTCTTGTAATTCTGCCTGTGATAAAACACACATTATTTTCATACGGCATTATGAGCAAATCTTTGTATATGTTATTGACAAATGGGTTGTGTGTAATAGATTATTAAACAAAAACATTCTCTCCTGTACAAAACAAGTGTTTGCTGGGATTTGGTCTATTACGAATGAATTTTGAAATTTATGCATAAAAAGAAAAAAAGACTACTCAATAGAGAAAACCAGTCATACGTAAAAGGGCTTAACAAGTTGAACATTATATACCTTTCCCAATGCTACTGCAGTGGTTGCCATATCCAAGACAAAACTATCACCATTATTTGCCGGCGCTGCAAGACTTAACGGATTTGTTCCCAAAGTTCTCTGTAAATATGTAAATAGATGTATATATATATGCATAACTCACTTGACGAAACAAAGTTGTATTTCTTTCAAAATTTGATCGTTTCAGTAACTGAACACAGATAATACAAGTAAAGGCTTTTAATTATCAACCTGTTTTGTATAGTTTGGAATAATTCGCATGTAGTATGTAAATAAGAAGATGCGGGTAAACCGCCATTGCCAAGAACCCAACAACATAAAATAATAAAAGACAGTAATTGGTACACCAGTTATTATCATGCAACATTTCAATTACACACATGTAAAGCTGGCTCGTTGATTTGATCTTTGGCTGGTGTCTAAAAAGCATCCTGTGTGCTTTCTTTCATTACTCACTTATGAGTACATCAATTAGTACGTAATAGATCAGGTATCAATGCTAAAATGTACTGCTACTTAAAAATACAAGAAAATACAAATCATGTTGTGTTAACTTCTACTTACCGTTGTCCCTCTTGTAGGAACCATCATAGGAGAAGTATTACAGAATGCCATGCCCTAAACAATACAAGTTACTATTAAAATATAGATAAATAATTTAAAACTAATCCCAAAACGAAAGTATATATTTTAACAACCAAAAATTATAAAAGTAAAATAATAACCTTTATCAATGATTAAATAATAAAAAGAAAAAAAGAAAAAAAAAACATAAACCGAGGTACATGATAAAGAAAGTTACGGCCTTTGTTTTAGACAAGAATATAACGATATAGAGCACGGTAAAAGAGTATCTCAAATGCAATAGCCTTATAAGATTGTTTGATTCTTGCTTGCTTATAGCGTTTAATGACAAATATTTCATGCATATTCAACACGATGAAACAGTTTAACGTCCTCATTCTGACCAGACGTGGTGGCAAAATCAAAAGCTTAAACACATCAAACGAATGTAAAACAACTGTCATATTCCTGACTTGGTACAGGCATTTCCTTCCAATTCCAACCGGACGCGAATGTGTTTATATATATCCCAAACAGCCTAACGGACGCCCCTCTTTAGCATGGGGGTATATGTATAGTCGGATGTGAGAAGACAGGGACGACCACATTCCTATACCTAATTCAACCTTTAATTAACATTGTGACAAACATTTATAGATTTAAAGATTAATGAATGTTTTTTGAGGATCTGATAACAATTTTTTAAGAAATGGCAAAAAGAAATTGTGCAAATACGTCTATTGTATTGCCGTCATTTTGATGTCAAAAACATGTTGACAATGATAAATTGGACTTATCATACCTTCTTATTATGGCAAACAACGAGAATTTATCCCAAAGAATAGGAAAGATAATTTGAAACCAAAAATTGATTTTAAAAAGAAATAAACAAAAAGGCCGTACGGTGGCCTATATATGTCATTTGGTCTCTGGTGGAGAGTTGTCTCATTGGCAATCATACCACATCTTCTTATTTTTATATATAAAAGCTTATACTTTAATAATCTTCAAATAGTATACAAATTGAATTACTTGCAATTGTTATCAAAGTTGTCTTCAACTGCAATGCGTGATACTGCTTAGAATGTTGTTTTTTTTTATTAATATTTGTAAAATTGTTCGAAAATCATGTTATTGTATTGTTTTGATTCTTTTATAGTCCAGGATTCATATTTTCACTCTCTGGGGTTAAAAAATATATATGGGAAAGTGTCCACACCTATTGATACAATTCAATGAATAGCCGTTTTATCAGCTGTCAACTATTACGCAAAAGTCCAATTTATATAGACAAGGTTGCTTTGTTGTGTAAATTTTGTGATTTATTCGGATGAAGGATAACAATGAAAATAGAACAAATTTGAAGAGGATCTGACAAAAAATGAAGGCGATAAAATTGTGACAACAAAGTAGTGAACTATTTGTTGATCAAAATTCCATCCGAAAAAAATACCACAAATCATTATTTCATTTTTTTTTTACCTTATTTTTGTATTTCATTCAAATAACCACTTTGCCATAGTTATGTGTCAGTACAGCCTTTGACAAATCATTATGATTCACCGTAACTTGACACATGTGTTTCGTACTTTGCCTAGCTGTAATATTAATTCTAGGGGTGCGAAATATGTTGGAGTTTCAATGAAGTTGTCAGACGCTATACAAATGGCCGAAGTCAATAATATCCGTTAGAGCTGATACTTTATTCGCTTTATCACTAGTCCAGTTACTTACCAGAAAACCTTGCTCCATTGCACGTAAGCTATACCACCCTGCTATTCCGAAATGGTTTGATCCTAGAAGAAAAAGTCAGTGTTGACGGTTTTGCCAGATTGCGTGAAGGTTGATGAATAGATTATATTTACTGTTCTATATTAAAAGGTAGTCAGATGTTAACTTTAGAGAGTTTTCATATACTTGTATGTTATTTGTGTACAATGCAATAACTCACCTCTACAGGAAACAAAACCTATACCAGCTGTTTTGGCTTTCTGAATAGCAAGGTCCATACAAAATCTGGCAACATATGGACCTAAAATGAAAAGAAATATTACTGAAGCGAAAAAAGTCTTTAAGACGAAAAGTTTAGGCCTATACTATGGAAAAGACTTGTGGGAAAACTTACATAGTGAGGGGCAATTCTTTTAAGAATGACCTAAGTCGAGGCCTGTTAAAATCACCTGGCATCTATGCATAGTTGACTCAATCTGAGTATCAGTTATGTAAAGCAATGTTCTAAATTATGTATATGTAAGACGATGATTTATTATATGTACACCAGTAATGGATAGCCAGATCAATTTGAATTTGTTGAAAATAACAAATACTAGTACCTTACACAATCATCAATTTGTCCTTTTATAATCAAAGGTTCGTATATATATCAATATATATAGTATTATTTGTTGTTTTTCTCAAAAAGCATGAAAAGTCAATCTTTTTCCATTAACAGTGCAACTTACAGTTTCATCATTTTTGTATGGGTTTTTATAATTCTTGCTGGTGCTCATAAAATTACCTTCATTAATCACAAGAACTTAACTTTGAAAAAATCATTCAAATAAAATAAAGTTGGACACATTTTATTATATTTTGCGAGAATTAAATGGGGAGGACCTTTTTATTGCATATAATTATCTTATTTTTATACTTATACTTGTTGTGAAAGTTGGAAAATATTACTGTATTTGAAATCGGCTAGGTCATAGCAATCACATGCACGACGAAGCAATTATATAACGTCACGGTACCCAAATTGCACCGAGTACCCAAATTGCACCTATTTAGCAAAAATAGCAGAGGAAATCTTACAAGTTTTCCTAGAGACTAAACAATTTGTATTTTTATGATTTGACACTATGCATGTCTTTCAACATAGGTAAATATATTTAAATATACACACAAATTTCACAGTATATATAAACAGATGAAGTGTTCACTGGAAAAAGTAAAATGTACGGAAACGTCGATGGCGACGTCCACAAAAAGTCATCTTTTAAAAATTAGCAAAAAAAATATGTTACAAGCATTCATTTCTTAAAAAATGAATAGTAAGCATGGACTAATGTCAAATTGTTCTAAATATTTAAAGAAATAAAAGAAAATATCTGTTGTTCGACTTTTAAGGATGTTAATTTAAGCATGGATGCAATTTGGGTACTCCTCATTACAGAATCATTGATCGATTGGAGTTCTGTTCAAACCCATTTTTCTATGATTCAATGTGGATTCAAAATTAAATTGGTGGAACCATATAGTAAATAATGATACATCTACAAAATAAACACAGAATGGAAACTTTTGTCTAGATCATAAATAAACGTAGGTGAAAAAACTGTCAAAATAGGTGCAATTTGGGTACCCTCACGTTACGCCTAAAAGAGAGGCGAAGGATACCAAAGGGACATTCAAACTCACAAGTCGAGATTAAACTGACAACGCCATGGCTAAAAAGAAAAAGACAAACAAACAATAGTACACAAAACACAACATAGAAAACAAAAGACTGAGCAACAAGATCCTGCTCAACATGTGGCCTCCCGTGACAAACCCGCTGATAAGTCTAGGTCACATTCGGGGAAAATGGGGACGGGATTGTAGTTACGACAATTGGAACATAGCCGTTGTCATCTGTGAGACGGATATTCCATAACGGTCAACAAACTCGTGATTGTGTCCGTAGAATTAACGAAGGGACGATTTCAAATTCACCACTTGGAACTCTTGGTTTAATATTTTCCTGTAACATGTAACAACTTTACGACAGACGTTCTCCAGCAGGGCTAACATATATTTTATAAATTATTCATCTCAAATTTATCACAATGTTAGATCTACAAATTTTTGTTCTCTCTTCAGCGGAATTGGAATCCCTGCTTCTGTGACATCGTGGCAACCACCTTCTGCACTGTGTCCAGCGCCCTTGACTACTCGACCAACTAGGGTATAAATTATAGCTTTAGTTATTCGAGTAATGCCTTTCCTTGTCGATTTTATCTAGGGTTGTAACACAGTACATGATGTTTAGTAGCAAATAGATGGTGTACCTTTCAGATCAGCTATTTTTTGTCTACCTACCATGCCGTCACATCAAATGTTATAATAAACGTCTTAAAACACGTGACAACTATACGACAAACGTTCTATTTCGTGGTTATACAGGGCTACCACCATAATTCAAATATACTTCGTCTCAAATTTAGCCAAACAATGTTAGATCTAGCAAAAGTTTGTTCTTCCCTCAGCGGGATTCGAACACCTGCTTCTGTGACATCGTGGCAACACCGCCTTAAACCACTAGACCACTAGGCTATCAAACTATAGCTTTCGTTAGTCGAGTAATGCCTTTCCTCGTCGGCTTTATCTAGGGTTGTAACACAGTACATGATTTATAGTGGCAAGTAGATAGTGTACCTTTCAGATCAGCTATGCTTTGTCTGTCGTAAGGATGATAATGTTTCATATTTATAATAAAGGCCTCATTTGTTGATTTATATTTATGTCAACACTTGATTTTTGGGGATGCAAATGGGTATAAACATCTAAATGATCCTTTGAAAATAGGATGAACGTGTTGCTGAACAGTGACGGTAAATTATGGTCTTGCCAAGTAATCACATGTCACATGCTATATTTTATGTGACAATATATACTTCTACTTCTACCGGTTAGTGACCACCGTCATGATGTTGACTATTCTGTCACTTTTGGGTGTGCGCAAATATAATTTTGATTAAAGTAACAAACAAAAAAAAAGGTGCTATACAAATATTTAACAGTGGGGATTAAAAACAAGGGCTTTTACGGAAGCCCATAGGGGACCTACAAAAAATAATATTATATCGTTATCTTAATATATATATCGTTATTTCGATATAATTAAATCGTTATCTCGATATATTTATATCGTTATCTCGATATTTATATAGTTATATCGATATAATTATATCGTTATCTCCATATATTTATTTCGTTATCTCGATATAATTATATCGTTATCTCCATATATTTATTTCGTTATCTCGATATAATTATATCGTTTTCTCGATACAATTATGTCGTTATCTCGATATCATTATATAGTTAAGGTGGGGTTATGACACCTTTTTGCAAATAACTCAAAAACTTATACAGATATCAAAATCTAGCAGAGAGAGTAAAATTGATCAGTACATTATGATCTGCCTCTGCCGAAATTTAAGTTCAGGTTGATCGGACAATTCGTTTCAGAGCTATGGCCCTTTATTTGCAATTTTTCTCAATTTTTTATAATTTTGACAATATTTTGAAAAGCTAGAGCCTTTTTATTATTATTATTATTCCAAAATATTTCCTGTTTAAAATTATCTTAGTCGTCCAGGTAACAGATTAAGGTTCCCGGTTTGCAGAAATGCCATCTATACAGGGGCAAAAGAAAGCTAACAAAGTCCATTTTAACCTTTATTTAACATTAAGTTTTAAATGTCTTAGACCCGCTTGAACTAGTATATATATCTTTAATATACACGAGGTCGTAATAAATGAGATGTAGTAAGAGAATTAATAAGACAACTCTTTCCTGGGACAAATTGGCGTTATTGTAATAAAAAAAAATGTACACAGGAAAATATAAATATAATGGTTTTGTTGTTAGGAGTTACTGTAACTGTCGATTGATCCTCCAGTGGGTTAGCAAACGCTCCCCGATAGTTGTCCGACCTCGTGTATATTACAGATATATATACTATTTCAAGCGTGTCTGGGACATATATTGAAAATCGACAGTTCTACGCATTTTCGCGTCAGCTACAGATTGATACAAAACTTAAACGACATTACATTTTTGCACCGGCAGTTCGATCGGCTTCCCTGGTCTGTCGCTTTCTTCTTTTCGTCCTGATTATGCATGAAATATTTGCGACTGAACGTTAAGCAAAAATCAATCAATGTAAACAGAAATTGACATATCAAGCAAGCGGATCAAACTGCCAGCGCAAAAAAAATAAGACTGTTTAATGTCTTTCAAGGTTTGGCATCTATCAGAAGCGCGCGAAATGAAGAATGTTCGATTAATCCCCCAGTGGTGTTAGCCGGCGCTGACCGATAGTTATCCGACCTCAATAAATAGGTTCAAATTATGAGATGTTTCATTGCATAACTTTTTTTATTATTACATGTAAAATGTCGGTTTATGGCTCGTTTTAAAGAAAATGGAATATACCTTTGAAAATTTTAAGATGTGGATCTAGACAATTTAATTGAGGTCTGGAGCTGGCATGTCAGTAACTGCTAGTATTCCTTTGTTAGTTTATGTATCATTGTCATTTTGTTTAGTTTCTTTTGTTACCTATTCTGACATCGGACTCGGACTTCTTTTGAACTGTGTTTTACTGTGCGTATTGCTGTGTGTTTGTTTTTTTTTCTACATTGGCTAAGGTATGGGGGAGGGTTGAGAACTCACAAAACATCGTTTAACCTCGCCGCATTTTTTGCGCCTGTCCCAATTCAGGAGCCTTTGGCCTTTGCTAGTCTTGTGTGATTTTTAATTTAAGTTTCTTTGATATATTTCGGAGTTTAGTATGACGTCCATTATCACTGAACTAGTATAAATGTTTGTTTAGGGCCAGCTGAAGCACTCCTCCGGGTGCGGGATTTTCTCGCTGTATTGAAGACACATTGGTGGTCTTCAGTTGTTTTCTGCTCTTTGGTCGGGTTGTTGTCTCTTTGACACATTCCCCATTTCCATTCTCAATTTAATTATACATAAACAAAATACAACGAGAAAACGAAGACCATATTTTTGATTTGTCGAGTTACTGACCTTGTGTATATCATAAAATAAAAAAAATGTTCAAGCAAACCTGGGGCCTTTAGTTTTCAATAAATAAGCAAAAATATGCGATAATGTGCAAATTTGGGTATTTTAAGAGAACCAAATCTGAAAGTTTTGCCCACAAGACTTTATTGTAGCTCTTAATGATCTGAACAATTTCCAATTCAAACTAAGGCTCTAGCTTTTAATCTAAAATTTGAATTGAATGGATTTGATTTGAT